AAAAGCCAAAATTTTCACAAAAAAATCAGAAATTGCGAACCAGTCTAAAGCGTGATAACATGTTTGATGAAAATCTGTGAAATATCCAGATATACGAAATCCCTAAATACCAGCATCATATTGTATTTATAGGAATTCCGACTTACAATCAACATCGTACATCTTTACTGTTATGTTCTGGAGCGGTTCTCCTTTGCAGTAAACACATCCATAGGCGTTCACGGTTCCTTCACCAGCATTTACGACATTGAAAATCGTAGGAATCACAAAAGCAAGAACAGTCAGCATTCCGTAAAATACACATTTCATAAAATGTTGCGAATTTGGTTCATTGCGAAGACACTTTACAGTGCAATGTCTAAACCTTTTGAAAAACTGTAAGCGTAAACTTGGATGCGAAAATATCAAACAAATTCGAAATAGAACGTTAAGAGCATTGTGATGAGCGATCTGTTGCTGACATATAACAGGTTGGATTTGTGGGATAAACCATGACTAATAAAATCCATCAGTACTTTTCATGTTCCCTTAATAACCGTTTCCGTTTTGTTTACTGGATATGCACTTAAAACATACTTCACGTTTGGTTAATTTGGTATCATCGTTGATACTGCCTAGTTTTTTTCGAGATAATTAGTGCAATGAACATATGTAACCTAGGTTCTGGAAAATGTACAGAATTTTGGAAGTTTGTGTACTTTTTGGATCGTAATTATGTTCACTTTGATGTATTTTGATTAGGTAATAATGAACTATTTACCAGGCAGTTTTCTAACATATTAATATCTACTGCAAATATAGATTGAGCGTTATCCTTAAGCTTCAGCTTGAGCCAATTATTTTGAACCATGTTCGCAATATTGTCGCGATGAAATCTTGTCAAAAACCGCTTGCATCCGAAGTTCTTTGACAGAAGGTGGGGTGATAGTTGAGGGTTTTTTCCCTACATCATTCCAAAACAAAAATTAACCATAAGAAAGAGGACAAAAGAAGTTTGTTTGGTATATCATTAACGAATTAATGACCTTGAGAATACATTGTGCTCTTACAATTATTTTAGCTCCTTTCGTGAATTTAATCAATAACGCGCGTGTAAAGTTCTCCGACATATTGACAAATAATGCATATTTATATTGTACAATAGTGTCTTACTGTAGAGACCACTGTAGGTGTACTGTACAAAGCAAT